ACCGGTGTTGTCACTCGTCGATTAACCGGTGGGAAAATTTCCTCAGGGTCACAACCCTAGTACACACACTCATCCATCATCACACAGATTAGATTGGTCTAGAACTAAATAAATGTAGTCTTCATCCTTGTATGCAAATTGTGGATGCAGCTTTGTGAATTGTTACATTTGAAAGTTAATATGCACTACAAGATTTACACTGATTTGATTTGTGTTGATTTGTTTTGGGGTGTTCTGCTGTCCGTAGGTCTACGCCAGGGGCTGTTAGCTGTCCTGTTTGCATGGATGCTTATTCAGAGGTAAGTGGTTATATGTGCAACTAATCACATAAGCAGTTCATTTATACAGTTAGTTCACCCCAAAATTAACTTTCTGTCATCATTTACTCACCCTCATGTCATTCTAAACCCATAATACTTATGAACTTTTTGAAGCTTGAAAGTTTTGTTTGAATGCGCTTTGGAGGGACACAAATCTCTCAGAATTCATTAAAAAAAGATCTTCATTTCTGTTTCGAAGATGAACGAAAGTCTTATGAGTTTGGAACGACATGAGGGCGAGTAAATGATGACGATGTTCATTTTGGGGTGAACTATCCCTTTAAATCAACCCTGAATGAACATTCTGTCATCTTATACTCGCACTCATGTTGATACACTTTTTTTGGTGGAACACAAAAAGAGATTTTTAAAAGAATAAAAATAAATGATGACCAGGGGCTTTAAAGCTCCAAAAAGGATGGAAAGTGCAGAGAAAGAGAAGCAAGAAAATGTTTTGGGTTTGCAGTGACATGAGAGTGAGTGAATGATGAACCATTTTGATTTTGGATTGAAGTTAACTATTTAATTGAACTAATTATTTATTTTAGTCTATAATGTGTTTCTCTGGTTAATTGAAATGTCTGGCTTTGATTCCATTTTCAGATCATCGACAGTGGTCGACTCATGGTCTCCACAAAGTGCGGCCACCTTTTCTGCAGTCAGTGCATCCGCGACTCTCTCAGCAGAGCTCACAGCTGCCCTACATGTAGAAAGAAGCTCACACACAAACAGTATCACCCAATATATATCTAATGGTAAAGATCAGCCGTGTGCATCTCACAAAGTTCTGTAGTACGCTCTCATGAAACAATTTCACAGCTCCATATGGTCACTGGCTGTTTCATATTTCACACATCAATGCCGATATGTGATATCAGATGATCAGATCAGATGATATTTGGCATTATTTTGACTTGCGGGATTCTGTTGGAACTAAAAGGGCACTTAGTCCAGGATTAAGTATTTTTTAAATTGTGAATATATGCGTATATATATATATATATATATATATATATATATATGTGTGTGT